AAGAGGATCGTATTTTGTCTGCCTTGTTTACAACCCATCGTTAAGCTGAATGTTTCATCTGCCATATCATTATAGAAGACTCATGATTGCTTACTCCTTTCAAGCACCTGATTCCACCTCTGGAACTTCCAGGCATCCGTGTGAAAGCTTTTTCAAAATATATGTATTATTTAAAGATATTTTTTGATCACTTTTAATTAATAATCCATTCACTTGGACGTCCTTTATCAAATTATAAGAATAATTAATAAGTATACCGATTTGAATGCATTTAAATTGAAGATGCGTTTTCATAAAATTCAAATCAAAAAAATACATTTAAGAATATTGAGGTTAATAATTTTTCATTTTGAGGAAATTAAAAATTTTAATTGTTTGTAAACCATAAATCTCTGAACTTATTTACATAGCGTGAGGTCTTTACAATTGTAGAATTTAACCTATCAGAAAATTAAAACCACGAGAAAGTGTTACAGTATATTTTGGTCTAATTTGTAGTGATTTGACAAATGTCAGGTTGCTTTGTTACGCTGTTTCTCACTGTAGAATAAGCCAGTCTGTTTTTCTTTGATGTACTTTACAAGGAAAATTTAGTTTTACCATGAAATTATTTTCATCGAAAGTTTCCTTAGGATATAACAGCATGTTATCTGCTTGCGTAAGATTTAAAAGCAGTCACTACACGTGAAATGGTGCCATCTGATCTAGGAAACGGAAACTCAACACATCTCGGCTAAGGTTCAGCTTGGTGTAAGTGTATTGTCACCTTAGTGAAAACAGTATTGTCATTTAAAAGCTAAAAGGAGATGTTTTATTTTCTAAAATTTAATATAAGGACATTCTGCGATTCAGTGAAGTCGTCAATCCAATACACATCTTGGTCGAAGCTTAACTTTTAAGTTTAAGTTTCGACAGGACATCCGTAGAGATCAAATATCAAGAACAATATAGGGTAACGACCGAATCTGGCCTCTTATTTAATGAAAATCAGAACACTTGTAAAATTGTGATGGTTTGTTGTTAAGAAGTTAAAATGATGCTTGCTTTAAAACAAGCACTAATTTAGATTGAAAGCTTACATGGAAGCCACTAGAGGGTGCGGAAGTAGGATATTTTCCCGAATTTCATTTCATCATATTTGAGATACCTTTCTCTTCTCATAGTGCACAAGCTTGTCTATCTGATATTTTTAAACATCAACTGCATCTGATACTAGTCTATGAAAATATAAATTTGAAAGATAAGCAAGCTTGTGGTCTATGTTTTCCGAAACAAAATGTGCTGCAAAATCAATGAAAATTTGCATAAAAAAGAGAAACTTCGAAAATTAACCTATTTCCTAACCTTTCTTTGACATCTGTTTATTCCAAAACCAATACTTTTTATGTGGCAGGGATGACAAGAGGTTTCTATGGCTGTTGCTTCATTCTGAAAGATACCTAAAATCGGGGGCCAGACATGGGTCTTACCCTATCTTGTCCTTTATGTAGCAAATTCATCCAACAGAAGAAACAGATGAGTGGACGGTATTCGTGAACTTGTATTAAAGCTCAAGAAAGATAACCAAGAATTTACACACAATAATTATAAAAAACAAAATATTTTGAGTTAACGTTAGAATTAATGAACACTCTGGTAAATAGTCTTTAATTTTGATTAAAAACTCATGCAGCATGCATTTAATCTATTCAGAAAAATCAGACAAAGATTGGGCAAATGGAAATTTCAGTGTGAAAATAATAGCCTTACAATAGGTATGAAAAATACCAGTCAGCATTCGACTTAAGTAATGATTTTTTTTTCTTTCTTACAAAGTAAATGTATCGCAACTAAAAACTTTTGACTTTAAGCGAAATGAGCCTGTTTTATCAACTTATTTGTCATTAAACGTCTTCTTCAGAAATTGTTGGTAGGTAGAGGATTATCTTGCTTTTCCAATCCGCTGGGAGATATAAACTCATATACATGTAAGAAGTGTAAATTGCTACACAGGTTAATAGATGTACGTCATCGATATCTCTAAATGTCTAGTTGAATGCCACAGCAAGTTTTTTCGTCTTTTAATGTATGAGATTTTGAATAAATTGTGCTTCGTTTGAATAAAAAAAAGGTCTGTTCATGACAGAGCGCAATTGGTACTCAGGGGAATTCCGAAAGATTGTTGGAAAACCTGGACTCAAAATAGGTATTGATTTTGACAGTCAAAAACTTAAGAATTCCAATTTCAGAGTATCTGAGCATTCAATAAGTATAGTATTTCAAAAATGACTGACTAGCGACAAGGTAACGAGGTTAAATCACTTTACAAGTTCCATTTTTATTTATTTTTTTTAGAAGAAGCTGTCTATGATCGATGTATAAATGCCCGGATTTTAATTTGTTACAGATTTAAGTTCTATTAAATTATAATTATTTTTTATGGAATAGGTAAGAGGAAATATACGACTGGACCGGAAATTGAATGCAGGACATTACTTACATTACGACTCAAACCAGTGCAAGTCGCCCGCGTGGCGCAGTGGTTAGAGCGTCTGCTCTAGAGTCGCGAAGTAAGGAGTTCATCCTTACGTCGCGGGTTCGAATCCCACTGTGGGACGTGGAGACCGGTCCTTCGGATGAGACCGTGTAAACCGAGGCCCCGTGACGCAGTAGGTGCTGGCACGAAAAAAATCTCTCCCTGCTCAATGGCCCTAAGTGCCGAGTATAGGACAAAATTTGCAGCTCTCCACCTGCAAGTGGTGGCGTCTCCATATGAGCGAAAAATTCTCGAGACGGACGTTAAACAATATACAATAGATCAATCAATCAAAACAGCGCACTCCTCTCTCCTTTAATTTTTCCTCGCCTTCGACACATCTCATGTTCCTTTTTCTCCTGGAAGGACTTTTGCCAAAAGGCTACCTTTAATTTTTAGGGATTATTGTGAATTTTTTTTTTAAAAATGTACAGTTTTATTGGGGTCGAGTCTTAAATTTAAAGGTAGATTGGAAGGATAGGATATATAAGTGCTTAGTTTTTTTGTATTTGTCTTAAGGCTAAATTTCAAGAATAAACCCTCAATATTAATAAAAGTATATTAAAGAAAAGATACGCGACTCTTCAAAATATGAAAATTAAATTGCATGCTTAAATAAAAATATTTGAGAGATCAGAAAATTCGATATACTCAGTTGAACCGTACACGTCACTAAAAGTTGCCTTGGATTGAAGACTCATTAAAGCTATATAATAATTAAATTTTCTCAATTGCTCTAATTCATTTATGATTATATAATTAGTCAAGCAGCAAAACTTTAAATCTGCATTGAATATTTTGTTCAAAGGAAGACAACTTTCAATTTGCATGCATTAAATGAGTTATTGTGTGTTGACGATAGTTATCTTACTTTATTTCCACTCTTTTAGAGACACATACAACAAAACATATTGTCTTATCTTTCACAAGGAAGCGGAACACCTGTATTGTTGTTGGTTCATATGCATAAAAATTCATAAGTCCTTAAGTATATACTTAAGTACTGTTTATCTGCTTAGCAGATTGGAATTTTACTTAGCAAATTGCTTAGCATGTTGCATAAAACTTCTCAACTCTTAAGTATATGCTCAGCATATGCTTAAAGTTAAGCATGGTCTATACCTGTCTTAAGTTTTTAAGCATATTGCTCAAGATATTTCTAAGAGCTAATTACACAGAACAATGAAAGGAACTTTACAAAAATTAAATACAAAACAATGATCAATGAAAGAAATCACAATTTGCATGCATCGACTTTATTATGTGGCTTTATAGACTTTTCTAACGCTCGCAATTTCATATTAAAAGGGTTTAAAATATGAAGTCAATTGATTGTTGTGTAGTTTTGACAGCAGCTGTGACAATGCAGTCACCCTTTTTGAGATCACCAGTGTACTTCAAGTTATGTTAAATCATTCTTACATTATGAGAAGAATTCGATTTACATGTATCGCATATTTACATGTATTCCATATTTACATGTATCTCGTATTACACACGTAATTTTCATTCAATTGACATCTCAAGAGAGAGAGAGAGAGAGAGAGAGAGAAATGACTGTGTATTTAGAAAAGTGCCACACATATTATATACAAACATTCGTAAGGAAACCTAAATTCATTTTGGAAAAAGTGTATACCATATATGCCTTCTGATAAAAAAAAAACGATTTAATTAAAAAATTAATTTGATTCACTCTTCCTCTAAAGTATGCAATATTTTTCTACATCCTTCAGTTTCTCTCTCTCTCTCTCTCTTTCTCTCTCTCTCTCTCTTAGAAGATGATAATTAAACATGTCATCAATATAAATCAAAATATTTTTATCTATTAAAGTGGTCAAAATATTAAAACAAATAGTTATAAGAGGAAAGTGAATAATTTTAAAAATAAATATGAACAACATTTTTTATAATATTGTTTCTTTGCTTGTTTATCACATGATTACATTCAAGTGAAAGTGGAAGTGGCTTTATTGAGATGACAACATTGTACTAAAGCAGATTGCGATATGCTTAGCTAAGAATTGCTAAGCATATTGCTTAGAATTTTTATGCAACAGAAATTAAGCATGTTTTAAGAATATGCTTAAAGAATTTAAGCATATACCTAAGAAAATTCTTAGAAATTAGAAAATTCAGAAACTCATGCATCTTTTTGATGTCAACTTCAGAGTACTTGTGTGCAATCAGAATATATAAGTCGAATGATAACTGATGTTTTTTTATATAAATAGTTTGGTATTGTTTGCACTCTGAATTGTCTACGGATATTTCTTTTACCTTATCATAACAACGAGCACAGAACGCTTGTGATCGGTCGGTAGGGGATGCTGACCTCTCCGTGGTACCTGATTTCAAATTTGATGTTTTAAGAGTTTCGCGTTTGCTCTGCTACAAAAACATTCTTTTGAACTTGATAACTGTTTGTTTTCTCCAAATTTCATAAATGATTACTGATTATATCTATTATTAAAAAAAGATCACGAAGAAATTTGAATAATTTATTCAAAATTAATCTTTTTGAACACTTTGAAGTCTCTGTAGAAAACCCTAAAAATATAAGATAAGAAATAGAAAAATATGATATTATTATCTGAGAACAAGAGATAATTTCATATCAATTTGACTCATCCACTCACCTTTATTTGGTTGCTATCAGTGCCCTCCAATTTCCTAGCCGTACATCATTCTCCCCATGCCATTATTATTCCAGCCATTGTTATTCCAACCGTTGTTATTCCAACCATTCCAACCATTGTTATTCCAACCATTGTTGTTCCAACCATTATTATTAAACCCATTGTTGTTCAAACCATTTCTATTCATACCTTAACATAAATACAACCAATAAATAAAATTCTTAACTCATTTGGTTTCCTTCTAAGATATTTTACACTATGTGAAACACTCCTGGAATAAAGGTTTCTAAAAAGAAATAAAACCAAACGCCAAGAAAATAACATTTGGTAATTTTGTAACAGAAATAGGAATTTGTTGGGGTTTTTTTTCATTATTTATTAAAAAATCAAAGTTTTATGCCTCGAAAAATCTCCATAAAAAGTATTCCTTTTTCGAATAAAGGAAAAGAAATATGACTTTTTTGTCTAAAAGAGTCCAATCTATAAAGTAGAAGGAATTATAAGCAATAGGAAACATTTGTATAACTGTTGCCTCAACAATGTTAAGGATTACAAGTGAAAATTGTTGATTAATTAATAAAAAATTGAATTCATTGCAATTAAGCTAAAAACGTGTATATTGATATGTAATAGGAAGAACAAAGAGTATTTACCATTGAAGAGAGCAAGTGACACTCCAAACAAGAGTACTAGAATAGCCAGAGTCCTCGTCATGGTGGAGTGTTGGAGGTAGCTGAAATTGGAAAGAGATGTAGGCTTTCGGTACTTTGAAGGTTGGATGTGAAAGCAAAAGAGTATACAGGGTTTATATAGGCTCAGATTTTATCACGGATAGTGTTAAATACAACTAAACATGAAAACAAACAAATGTTCTCATTTACAGTGATTAGTTTATTGTTGTGTTACTAACAAAGGTTACATGAATAGTGACAAGAACATTGCCTGAAAGTCAGGGTGTGACTCGGCAATGCTCAACATCAAAGATCACCATATTTGTTTCTTTAATTCAAAATTGATAGACAATGTTTCAATTCAGAAACATTCTAGAGTACTTTCCTTTTTTCATTCTAGGTCTAATTATAAGATTTTAGAAATAATATTTGTTCATCTTATCATTGATTCGACTGACATTGCGTTTTAGGTAGATAGCAGGTTTGCTGAAGTCGCTATGGGATTTAACGTATAAAGCTTACCGCGTTTACATTATCAAGCTACAAACAAGCAAAAAATATTTTCATCAGTATGCAGAATAAATGAAATATACATTGAAGTCTATTTTGTCCGTAAAATTTTTCATTGATATGTAATTAAAAAATAAAGGATGAATTCATAAATAGATTAAGAGTGTTTTTATGTGGTGAAATATGCAAGGCTAAAATTAATTCTATTTTCCAGAGTAAAATGTAATAATTCATCATTCTTTGCCTATATTAATTCCTAACATGCGTCATTTTAAAAAGAAAATTGCGTCACAATCGACAAACTGTCAAAGACTTTTTGCAATGCAATAACATGCCATTGTAATTCAACTGTGTTAAATGTGTACATGTAAATTGTCATTTATGTACTTGATGTATATGTATTATTATTACTAATTATGTCTTTCAAAAGCTCTACAGAGCTTATTTGTTTTTAAATCTGACTTTAAATAAAATTTTCTGATTTTCATAAAGGGGACATTTGTGCCTTACAAAAGAAATAAAAAGCGTTTTTAAAAACAAAAAATCGGTACGAAGATGGCAAGTTAGCGGTGTTAAAATGTATGATCGTGCAGACATACGTAGTACATCTACTAATTATTTTCTAAAAATAAATAAATAAACCACCGTGTTGCTACAATCATTCTTTGGTGGTCGACCATACATGTAGTTAAATGTCAACATAAAAGAGAAAATAAGGATGAGGTGAGGAAAATTGCAAATAGCAACAAAAAGGGGATGATTTTGTTCAATAACTTTGAAGATAAATTAAAAATTAAATATAAATTAAAATAAGAAGGGGGATTAAGGTCGGACAAAACACCTGTGGATTTTATTTAACCCATTTCTTAAAAAGTATTGGAGAAAAAAAAAAGAATAACATTACTATATCGACAACAATAAATGATCCCTGGAAGAAAAATAATAAGTCTTGGCATGTTTGCGTCATATTTTGTGAAAAAATCAGAGAATCCTTTATATTGGTCACTTGGGAGCTTACATTTTGGAATGCGTTTACGCTATCTACGAGGGCCGTTCAAAAATTACGCGGACTGTGCTATTATTTACTCTTACAGACGTCATAGAGTTATGAAATTTCACAGAAATATGTATCTCAAAGATTCCAATAAATTTTGGGCAAAATTCCTGTATTTTAAAAACATTCTACTAAAATTATCGGTATGTTGATATCGCTGATGGAGAGGTACGGAGCACGACAAAAAATCTGAAGCAAAAGCATGCGGAATTCAAAATTTAACTCATTTATTTTCTATAATTCGCAATATTTTTCGACAATTTTCTCAAATGTGTCTTTAAATCGTTCTATTATTGTGTATTTGGATTTCTGGCGTGATATTTGAAGTACTAACAGAAATAAAATGATTTTCCTCTGATGCGATTCCCGTGAAAACGACTGTGAAAATGACGTCTCGTGTAATGACGGCGCACCACACTTTAGTTAAATTATGTGTAATGCTCGAGATATCACCAACATAGATCCAAAATATGAATATTAAAACATGTAGTAAACTAGGGTATTCGTGACATTCGTCCACAAATAGCAAATAAGAATTTTAGACCATTAGACCTCTGAAATATGGCTATACGGGAGGACGGGAAGAAGATTTATCGATGAAAACTTGATCCGGACTGTAAAGAACGTGATTGAGAGTCACCAATATCACACTATATTTCATAATACCTGCAGTTTTTTGGTTTTAAAACAAAAAAAAAAGAATATTCTTTACTTGTTTAATAGATTTAAAGCTTGACAAGAAATGGTGTTTGGATGTTGAGTAGATAAGATAACTCAAACTGTACAGGTACTCTTGGGAAAATGTTGAGAAAATGAAAGCTCAATCACATATTTTTTTATGATGTCTGTGACGTCGAAGATACTGCTGCTCCGTGACTTATTGATATGTCCTGAAGAATCACTAAAAATTGATACCAATTTACAACATTTTGATATGAAATTTTGTAGACCATATAAGTAAAGATTTTTTTTATATTATGTGCGACATTTTGCCCGATTATGTCGTCAAATATTTTTTCTGTGCAGCAAGTCCGCGTAATTTTTGAACGGCCCTCGTAAGTGTAATAAACAAGCAAGTAACAGTCTGTTATAAAATGCAGTGTAACTTTTGTTCCATGTATAGTAGAGAGCTGATAGTTGGACACATACATCAGGAGTCTCCATTCTTTATGTACTACAAAGGTCAAGGTCATATCAAGAGATCAAAGGTCAAATATTGTGACGTCATCTACTGAATCTTTAAGTTTTTTTGCTATTGAAATTTTTTTAATAGCCAAAATATCTGAAACCACTGATTCAATTTTCTTTATTTTTACAGATTTTATTTTAGGACCCATCTGAATTATTCTGTTGATTTTTTGTAAAAATTGAATTATACATTTGCTCTTAAGAAACTTTAAACTGTCGGATATTTACATGTGAATTTACAATTCCTACGCTATGTATGTTCTATTTTTACTTAATATTTTACTCAGATTTTCCAGTTTCAATATGATTTACTGATTTAAAGTAACAAAAAGGTTATCTTTATTAAAAGTATTGCACAAATTTGCAATAGATCAATTGATGATTCTAAAATAAGACTCATTCTCAAGTCAAATGTCTGATTTCACAATCTTCTTACAGGGGTCTGACAGACCTTATTTCAGACTATGTGGGCAAAAAATGTGTGGTTGAATTTCTTTCATATCATATACAAAGAGAGATTTTGCATCCTAGAACAAAATTGTAAAGTTTCAGAAAAATTGAATTTGAGGAACAATTTTGCATATCTATTGTGTCATTCCTTAAATACAATATTTGGAAAGTGTATATGTGTATTAAAATTTAATTTTGAAATAAACATAAGGGTGGGGGAGGTTTGAAATAATTTAGTTTTGCTACATTGTTTTTATTTAGCTTGAAATATTGTAAATAATTGCTGTTTACACCCACTAAAATTAAATTTTAGATAATGTTTTAAAATTAGCAATAATACTGTACAAAGTTAAAAGCCTACAGGAATACTAACCTAGGCATTAAATATAATAATTGGCAAAAGATAAGTACATATATTTTTGAATATCAACAGATTATATGCATTTGTGTGTGCATATATGTGAACAAAAATCAAAATTTAATAAAGAAAATGACCAGAAAGGAGTTAAGGCAAATTGAATTTAGAAATTTTGGTTTGTGCTATAGCATAATTATAATTTAAAAAGATGTCAAAAGGTCAAAAGATGTCGGTTAAAATGTCATTAATTTTGAAAGGGAACTCTCATCAGGTGCTAGTCCCAAACTCCAAGAGGTTTGTTTCGGTAATGAATTGGCCATTCATTCTAGCACGACAAACCTGTCCTCGCCATTTCCGGTAGATATGTATTTGTTCGTGTAATATATAAGTTAAGTAACATATCTAACATTAATTTTATAGTCTTAGCTAAGGAACTTACCTTAATTCTTCTGTAATCTTCTCTGTTGATTTTCATCATGGCGATTTGACAGCGTCTTCTCTGTTGATTTGACGTCATTTTATACGCCATGACGTAACAATACCCGGAGATTTACAGAGCCCTAATGGCCTTTCGGAGTCATTATTTATATAGATATATAGTATTGAACAGATTGTTTGAAATAAAACAAATTAGAGGGAGATTGAAATAACCTAGACTTTTAATATAATAAAGGGAGCTGAGAATGATATTGAATTTTAATATATAATTTTGATAAAAATTGTGTGGAAAAACAAAAGAAAATTAACAAATAGATAAGGCCGTCTAAGAGTATGTCATAGGTCTGAGTTACTGTCACACCCAGTGAATCACCTTGGGAATTATTTACTGTTTGTATTTAGTATATTGTATATAATTGTATATATATATTTGATTTATCTTGGTATGATAAATCTTTAATTGGTGATAAGAAAATACACATTTTCTTTTTACACCTAGTGCTTCCAGCCTCAATTCTTTGTTCTCATAAGGAGAACAGGCCTCTGCATGATCGTGTAGACATACGTAGTACATCTACTAATTATTTTCTAAAAATAAATAAATAATAAATAAATAAATAAACCACCGTGTTGCTACAATCATTTTTTGGTGGCCGACCATACATGTAGTTAAATGTCAACATAATATAAAGAGAAAATAAGTATGAGGTAGAAAAATTGCAAATAGCAACAAAAAGGGGGTGATTTTGTTCAATAACTTTGAACATAAATTATAGATTAAATATAAATTAAAGTGAGAAGGGGGATTAAATACATATTTGGAAAGTGTATATGTGTATTAAAATTTAATTTTGAAATGAACACAATGGGGGGGGGGATAACATTGGTAAAAGGTTGTATGGTTGGCGTTGGGGGAACAACGTTGGGCCAACGTTGGACAAATGTTACCATGCCAAACTTCTCGACCATGACAGAATTCTTATGTTGGCCCAACGTTGGCCCAATGTTTGTAATATACCCTTAAAGAAAGTGTCTTTTCAAGTTGGTAGTAGTATGTTGGCCCAACGTTGGCCCGACGTTTGTAATACACTCTTAAATAATATGTCTTATCAAGTTGGTAGTATTATGTTGGCCCAATGTTTGTAATACATCGTTAAAGAAAACGTCTTATCAAGTTGGTAGTACTATGTTGGCCCAACGTTGGCCCGATGTTAGCACGGGTGTTCTTTGATTTAGGTGTTTTAAAGATTGGATATTTATATTGGGCCAACGTTGGGCCAATTGTACTGCCAACTAAACGATTGTGTCAATTTTAGCTGCTGATCTTTACGTTGGGACAATGTTGGTTCCAAGTATTAATTTATATGCACATTCTGAAATAATTAAGATGACATTCTATGTCCATGTTTTTTTATTTGTAATAAAACCTTTAAAATTATGATTTTTTTCATGATTGTTGTATTCATGAGAATTTAGAGAAGATGAATAAGTGTTAGTTAAAGGTTCTCAGGAACAGGATGTGAATGAAGCCTACATCCTAGATAGCAGAACATCGTTGGCCCAATCTTACATTATGGTTTTATTATGGCTGTTGGGTATTGGGCCAACGGTGGTCCAACATGGAATATTGATAGTTGATTATGTATAATGGGGCTAATGTTGGGCTAACTGCTGGCGTTATATCATAAAACTATTATCATGAGAGAAAATATTTCTTGGGGGATTGGCATCGGCCCCAAGTTGGCCCAAAATACCATGAATCTGGCTGAGCATCATGGGTATACAACATCCAGGCTACTTGTAATATCCGCGAAATTTTTAATCTGACACGCGTGTAATGAGACTGATACCTTGCATATCTGCATCCACATTGTAAGTATTTATAATATGTTTGCTTCGACACAGCTTAATTAACGTTTATGGTTTAAACGATATCGTGTACAAATCTGTATAAATCAGACATAGAGAAGTGCAGAGGCCAGGTGCTGTTGGGTCAACACTGTCCCAGATAGCATGCTAACACTGGGCCACCGTTGGGTCAATGTCATCGGTTACATTGGGCCAATGTAAGTTTAATCATCGGCCCAATGTTGGCCCGATATGTTGGGCCAATGTTGGCCCAGTGTAGAGTGTTATTTCTACAGATATTGGCTTAACGTTGCGCCAACATTGGCCCAATGAATACGACATTGGGCCAATGTTGGCCCAACGTCAACAAGAACATTGGGCGATGTTGGCAAATGACGTTGGCCCAGTGTCATTTTGCTCATTGGCCCAATGTTGACCCGATATATTTGACCAACATCGGGCCAATGTTATAAACATTTTTAATTGTTACATATCTATATATTAACAAATCCGATTTTCTCTACAATCAGAAATAAATCTACCACCAATCCTACTTGAAAATACAAGTTAGCTAAAATAAATTTACAAGGCTTGTTAAAATTCTTATAATTTATCAAAACAATATAAATTCTCAGTGATTAAATTTATTGTTTCTATAAAATAAAAATAAATGAAAGTATGAAATAACAAATGTGTTTTGATACAGTTAAAACAATAAATAATTTGCCCCTTATTTAGATTGAAATTTGTGTCTAGTAGAATAAATTTCCGTAGTCTACCACTCATTTTACTTATATACACTTAACGTCGAGCACATGATCAGACATGTTGAAAATGTTGAACATGTTGAAGTGAAAACAAAATTTATTCAGTACTAAAACATAAATTGGGTTCTTTCATTTAAAATTTTTCAGTGTCCCGACAAATTTTCTATACATGTATTTTACTTTGAAAAATGATTTATATGGGGCAACATTGAATCAAAAAATCGATGTGATGATGATGATCAAGCGTAGAAATTTTCTGCATAAATGCCTTCATCACGCAAGCTAGTCGTTTAATCACACCATGAAACAAAAAAAGATGGTTATTCCTTAATTGACAGCTTAAACATATAGTGATATACTTGTAAATTTAATCGTATGTTTACTCTTTACTGAGAAAAGTAACAAATGTATTTAGTACCAAATGCTACATTTTTAGGGCTACTGGAGATTCTAAAAAGACATTGAAAACATAATCAAAGAATGGCTCAGATGTGCCAAGGACAGGGATGGGGGAGGAAGAAACGGAAAGAGAAGAAAAGAAGGGAGAGGAGGAGACTCGGGAGAGAGAAGTTAAGACTTAGGAGAGGGATCAGATGGAAAGTGGCAGTGCCTAACTTTTTTCTGTTATATGCTGTAACATTCCTATACTTCTACCCTTTTCTGTGTCTGTTTGTCGATAACAAACACGATGCAGATGCCAGAAACATTTTTGTGTAAGTAAACAAAATGGCGGGATTCATTTTAGTATTATTTTAAGAACAGGAGGGCTTTGTTTATTTTTTAGACGTGCTTATTGATACTTGCAATTTACTGAACTTGTGCATAAATTTACATCAGAGAGGGAGTATACAGTCATGTAACCCTACATATATCGCTTCAAGTGAGCATCAACTTTTTGTTCTTTATTAATGTTTTCTTCATGCACTGAGCAATAAAATACCAGTGTGTTATAATTCAATTTTATATTTTGATTTCTTTTTCCTCAGTTTTTTTTAATTAATCTAGAGCTACTTACAATGCAATACTTGTTGATGGTAATTCTATGAGATATTGTGAATATATATTAAACTATTAATCTATCATATATAGTATTAAAGGGCTTATACCATTAAACTGTACTACAAAACTAGTATAACCTAATTATATATAGTTTGTTATTCAATTTTGAGGTCAAATGGCCAACCAGTGAAGAGCAAATGAGTTGTCCTGATGGTGAGCCAATAAGATACAAACCAACGTTGGCCCAAAAATGATGTTTGCCTCATATTGAAAGAATTACGTGGCCCAACAATGGCTCAATAATATCCGTTCGTTGATCCAACAATAAGCCAACAAGTTGGTCTGATTAGGGTCCGATGAGCAAATTACCGTTGGCCCAACATTAATTGCTTACAATGGCCCAACTTTACAAAAATGACGTTAGCCCAATATTGAAAGAAAACATTGGCCCAACAGTGGCCTAATGTTAACTGTTACAATGGCCCAAAAATAAGCCAACAAGTTGGTTTGATTAAGGGCCGATGAGCAAATTACCGTTGGCCCAACATTATTTGCTTACAATGGCCGAACTGTACAAAAATGACGTTAGCCCAATATTGAAAGAATACATTGGCCCAACAGTGGCCCAATATAAACTGTTACATTGGCCCAACAATAAGCCAACAAGTTGGTTTGATTAAGGGCCGATGATTACCGATGGCCCGATATTGAACGGTGGCCCAACATAAGGAGCATTGTTGGCACAACATAGGTCCAATAACATCCTGCTATCTGGGGAGGGGGGGGGGAGGTTGAAATAATTTAGTTTTGCTACATTGTTTTATTTAGCTTGAAATATTGTAAACTTGAAATATTTTAGATAATTGCTGTTTACACCCATTAAAATTAAATTTTAGATGATGTTTAAAATTAGCAATAGTACTGTACAAAGTTAAAAGCCTACAGGAATACTAACCTAGGCTTTGCTATTGATTTAAATAATACTGCCGATATTTTGAAGATAATTCACTTTTCGACGATATGAATATTATGCATTTTAGAACCTCGTTATAAAATTTTGACGAATTTAATCAGGTTAATAATATATTCAAAAACTTAACCATGAGAAAGAAAACACTTTTTACGGCCTTCAACTCAATATTAATGTAAATCGATGACGTTTTATCAAATAACTATAGTTCACATTCATATGCCTACTCGATATTTATCAATGGATTTGAAATAAAAGATGCAACAGATCTGACATATCTATTTCATATTTGGATATTTTACTAAAAGTAGACGTTAAAGGTCATCTTGATTGAAAATAAAAAAGATAAATATAATGCCTTAAATTTTCTAATCGTCACTGTCCATTATTATAGAGTTATGTACATTATCATGGGGTTTGAATCTCCAAGTTGATAGATATGCAAATACAGATTCGTCCCACGAACAATTTC